GTTTGCGGATTCCACTTACAAATTTCGCGGATTCCAAACACATTTGCGGATTCCACTTACATTTTGCGCAATCCAATTACAGTAGCGGAATCCAAAAAAAAACTAGCTATACTCGCTTATTGCGGAATCCGCGACACAATATATGGGTCGACAAAATCTACATTACAGGTTTTTGTACGCGGAATCTACGGAACTTTTGTAAGTGGAGTTCACTTATTTTTTGGAACATATTTAAAGATTTGTCTCTGGAATCCAGGAACCTACAGACACAAAATTGTGCGCCTATATTGTGCACAGTTTGGCCTCGTAATTTGAGAAATTTAAATTCTCGACAACATAATTTTTCAGGACTTTTTTGGAGGTCAATCAGTTCTGAAACTGGACTCGAAAATCTGTGAAAAAAAATTTGATTTATTTCGGCTACCCATGTTGAGATACGCGACTTGTGCAGCAAATCTTGAGTTTTGCGGAACATTGGATAAGTTTTAGATTTTAATAAACCAATTTTTATATTTTTGGACTTTCTCGACAGAAAAAGATGTGTCCATTTTTGCTCGATCTAAAAACGAAATCAGATATGTTTAAAACAGTGCGCTCAAAATTGGCAATGACTCACCGTGCTTTGCAATATTCACGCGCGTCGAAGTAATCACTAAATGTCTGCGTGCTGATGTGAACACATTGTGCCATTTTCTTCATCTTCTTGAAACCCTTTGGACACATTTTTCCATCAAGACTCGCGAAAAACAAACCGAACAGTAAGATTAGAAGGAAGATATAGCTATCCATAGTTATCAGCTCAAGAATACTAACTCACATTTGAATTATGGAAATTATGGATACGTTGAGATTTAACATGCTTGAAATCTTTTAGCTGCAGTAAAAATAGGTTAACAGCTGTTGAAGTTTACCTAATTTAAAAAGCGCTTTGGTCTAAAAAATAATGTATTTCATTCTTCTGTTTTCTATCATACAGAGTCGACAAACAAAAGTGTGGTCTTTTCGATTATACCCCCTAAATGATGGAAAAAAAAGAAAATGAAAGTTTTTATGAGAAAATTGTATCCATTTTTCTTTGAAATGCTGGGTTAACCTAACAAACAGCAAAATATGCCCAAAATGTGAATGAAACGACAATTAAACCCACATTTTCGCTCAAATTTATTAAAAATTTTTGAAGACGGCAAAAAAAGAAGCGGAAACAGTCAGTTGGAGGTTTAATTAAGTTAACTGTTTCGTTTTGACCGGTCGTATATTACTGTCTTGCGTCTCTGATTAAAATCGATCCAACTTTTTTGTAAAACTTCATTTTAATATTTCATTATTTAGGGTGGTATGACCGGAAAGACCCCAAAATTGCCGACTTTTGCGCCCAAAATACAATTCAAGTTGCGATTTTTAAGGTAGTGTCAAACTCCCAATTATTCGGCTGAAAATTGGTATTTTGGAAAATTGGTAAAAACGCGATTTTCACGAAGTGTAACATTTATATTCGGCCCGAAAATCCGAATTTGAAAAAAACGCCTGTGTTTTCCCAATTCGGCAAAATTTGAGTTTCCGTATATGTCCGTATACAATTTTGACACTCTTGTATGGAGACGGGATTTAGAGTTGTGATATTCAACTCCGATTTTTGTGCGAAACATTCAGACACCAATCAGCATTCGGAATTCGCAATTTACAGACAACGACAAAATTACTTTTTTTGAAGGACAAAAAATGACCATTTACCAAAAACTAAGTTGTCAGTTTTCGAAAAGTTAGGGACAATCGTTTCTTGCCATCGATTAATACAAAAATTCATCATAAAAGGATAATGATAGTAATCAGAAAAATAATCATAATAATAATCGTCATGATATTGATTAAAACATGATTAAAATAATAGCTAGAATATTCGGTTAATGTGCGACTTTTATTTATTCCGACCAATTTTCCAAATCAAATTTGGGGATTGTGCCGACGGATCCAAAAATTGTGAATTGCCAGATCGTTCTAGTCTCTGGCCTAAATGCGGTTCGCTTTGCTCGATTAATACTTGATAGTTTTGTTGAAAGTTTTATTTTGTGTTGTGAATTATCTCGGAAATATAGTCGTTCAACTGAACTAAATCGAACCAAAATAATTTGTCATATTAATTCGACTCAAACTCGGTCAAATTGAAATGAACCACTCAGTCAAATTAATTCGACTGAAGTATTAGCACTTACATTTGATATTTGCACTCCAAAATTTGTAATCTATCACAATTGTGGGTGACCAGTTTAGGGGTGGTCGGAATATTCAGGTCTTCGCCCTGATATACGAACAGTCTTGTATCAAGTATATACACAAGAAAACATCATCTCACTGCACTAGTAGCACAGAACATTCTGATCATTTATGCTAGCGAATAGATCTGACAAAAAGCAAACAAGATGGTTTGGGGAGTTTGTTTTTTAATTATTGTGAATCGGAATCCCGAGAAGATGCTTATTTTTCCTTGCATAAATTGCTCAACAAATTCTGAAAAAAGTTTTTTTTATAAAATGAGTTTAAATTTCGAAACGATTCATCAATGAAGAAAAAGATCAACACAAGCTATTTAGCTCTTTCCGGGAGAGCACCTGTTATACCCTCGAAAAATTACGTGCAATTTTTTCGGTGCTGAGTACTTTTGTCTGACCTTCAAGCAATGAGCACGGATCAAAATCGGCCTCGAACAAATGACTTTTTCAATCGGAGGCAAAAAATTAACTCCTTTACGAACATATCCGATAATTAGTTTAGTGGTTGAAAAGGTTAATTTTGAAAAATTACGTGATATACAGGCAATTATTAAATTGGTAATCCATTTACTTTGAAAAGATCGAGCGTTAAATGATAGAGTGTGAAGACGATCTCTTACTTGATCTCTAGATTTAGGTCTCCTCCGCGACCGGCTTGATCAGTTTCGACTGCAATGGAACCAGTTCTAAACTAGTATTTATAGACCAATTATATATATGATGGAATATCACTACAAAATATTTATAACTAACCAATCATATCCCATCTCTAGCATTTGAACTTATTTGTAAGTGCTGAAACTACTTGTAGTTTCAGCACCAGAACAACTTAAATAAAAACTTTGAACACAGTTGTTCTCCTTCTGGATAAATTCCAATAAATAACTCACATAAACCAGTATACACTAATACAGAATCTATCCGACCGAAAATAAGATAGCGTGACGAGCAGACGGTATACCTTATCTGAAATTACTCTATGAGTATAACCAATAGGTCATAACTCAGTAACATTGGTGCCTCGTTAAAGTTCTAACCGCAAAAAAAACTGATGGCTTCGGAGTATCATCAGCTTAAAAGTGACTGATTAAGTTGACAGGTGAACTTTTTTGGAAATTCGTTAGGTTAACTCTTTTGTTGAACATTCATAAACTAACACTCTGAGCAAAACGTCAACGCCGTCCCTCAAATGTATCATTCTTTCCAAAAAGTTGCTTCCAGATCAAGGATATAGTTAAAGTAAAATTGTTGATAAAAATCCTTGCTCATTATGTATCTATTTTCAACTTCAATTCAGCTCCTGTGAAAAAACCGAATTACCCAAAAAAGCACTAAATTTGACCAAATGAAATAAAAGTTCGCCAATATTGCCAAAAATTTGACATTAATAATTAAATGTCACTCAACACAGAAGCAGCGTTGAACTTTGTAGAGCCCAATGTATTGATCTTGTTGTTCCGAATTTCGAAAAAAGTTAGGAGTATATATACTCGGTCTGTTTTTTTTCCAGCTCACTTTCACATAATTCTGGTCCCTCTGGGATCAATCTCTTGATCTGCATGGGGCCAACCGAGTGCGCAGACCACTATAGTAACATGCCTTGATTGTCTCAAACTGCTTGTTTTATTAACCCGCAAATCTTTTCAAATTGAATTAAGGCAGCTAATTGGTTTTATTAACCTCATAAACGAGTGAACTTTTTTTGATATGAACACCCATCAACTCATAGTTTTGTCAATATTTAATTAACTAAGAATTATCCGAGACCACTTCGAGGGCAGTCGGAACATTCAGGGCTTTGTCCTGACACGAGCAGTCTTGTTATATACATATTTTAACCTGTTTTAGTGCCATGTGGTCATTTGTTGTTCAGATCAGACCCTCCACGAAAAGAAGGGAAGGAACCGTGGCGTAGGGTGGGCTATTTTGCCCAATTTACCATACCCCAAGAAAACTCGTATGGAATCAAGTGTTGTATCATATTAAAACTCTATTGATCGTAATTCGGATTCCAAAAAAAACAACTTCAGAAAGTTTTTCTCAAAATGGAGTAATTTATACTGCTTTTTAAGTTTATTTGTGGTATAATCACCTATTATTGCCGGTTATTATCCAATGGATTATCCTATCCTACTGCCAAGAAAAAAATTTGGGCATTGATTTTTTAAGATTTCTCTCTTTATTTTCAATTGCATTATTACGTTACTAAATTAAGCTGTGGTCGGAACATTCCGTGCCTTTTGCTGCGAGCAACCGGCTATAATTGCTTAATTTAGCAGGCTAAACTTTTTTGCAGTTGCCTCAAACATCGATAGTTAACTATCTATCCTTCTTAATTCATCGGTGGTCAGAATAGCTATTATTGCTGCATGTTTCACCGAAACGGTCAAAGAAAAGACAACACACCGAAATATCAAATCATCAGTCAAAAAAGCAGTTTTGATGAAAATATTTCAATTTCTAAGTTAGAAAATATCTAGAGGGGGTTGTAGCAGTACATGCCTCCGTCTACTCTCACGTTGGATCCGGTGATGAAAGAGGCTTCTTTGCTGGCCAGAAACACAATGGCACGTGCCAACTCCTCCGCTTCACCGACTCGGCCAATCGCGTTCGACTTCATCGACAGAACATGAGCCACCAATTCAGGAGGCAAACAACGTGCGTGCATTCCTGTACAAGGAGTAAAATAAAATAACAATATTAAATTTATTTCAGGGTTATTATGAAAGTTAATGCTCCAGAGCTAAAACAATTATCAATTGAAAAGCGCTAACTTGAACAAGCGCAGAAGGTAGTTGTTAAAACATCGCTGGAAACTTTCTTTTAAGTACCATCGTACCATCTTAACTGAAATTTCTAAGTTAACCTATGTGCTATTTATCCATGTTCATGTACTATTTCTAATTATGTACTATATAATGTCTAAAACAGTGCTAGTTGGTACGAGTCATGGACATTACAAAAAAAACACCCCCCCCCCCCCACCCCTAAACCAATTTAGAGGGCGGTACATCATTGAATTGGTTGAGAGCATTTTAACCAATCAGAATCTGTCATTTCGCGCATTTATTATATTACTGTACAAAAAATTTTCTCAGAGGTAGGGCTTAATTTTGACTATTTTTTAGATGAAATCGTTCACTTGACCCCAAGTCATCACAAGTCAAAATTTTTCATGCGTCTGGTCGATGCCCTTCACGCAAAAAAAACGACAATTGCCCATTTTAAATGAATTACCACTCTTATTTGAAAATATCATCCAGCCAGTCAGAACCAATCAAAGGCGCGGTAGGTGGATTCCGTCAGAGTAATTGTCCACATTATCCCATAAAGCTATAACTAAGAAAAAAAAATAAAAATATTGAACAGAAATTGTCATTACTACTTCCTTAAAATGTATTTATTGTCACAAAATACGCTTTTAGAAAAAATTGAAGTTAAATCCCCCATAAACCGGACTTCTTTAATTAGAGAAGGCTTTCACTTGGTATTCATTGTGGCAAAATAACCGAAGATCTCTTACTATCCCCCCCACCCCCAATGAACCTCCCCTCAGATTCTGAACTGAGAACCACCTTTTTGCTAGAGCGAGAGTAAATGTATGCTTGATTACCTGTATTTACAATGCCAGAGTTGACCCCGTTCACTCGGATTCCGCGTTCGCCTTCTTCTGCTGCCAAGGTCATTGTAAACATGTCCAGGGCAGCCTTGCTCATGTTGTAATTAGCCGAATTCGCATACGATTTCAAGGCCACAGTTGAAGATACATTCACGATGTTTCCTTTCGTCTTTTCCAAATAAGGCAGGCACAATTTACACATGTAGACTACTTGTTTCACATTGAGGTCGAAAACTTCTTGGAATTGCTCAATAGGGGCATCTCTTACAGATCCAAGAAAGCCCATACCGGCATTGTTTACTAAAATGTCTATTCGACCAAATTTGTCGACTGTTTCGGACACTATTTTGTCACAGGTTTTCAAATCAGTCAGGTCGCCTGAAACAAAAAACTTTTTATTTTTGATCAACATATTCATCAATCATCCCGGGCAGACACCCATACATCGAAAATTGTAGTCATAAAATTCCATACAGTTTTATACAGGAAAAAATGCTAGTCATATGATTCCACGAAACTTGTCAGTGAAAAATTACTTGTCGTATACAATTCCCATACTACGTGACTCGTATGGCTAGCATTTCTTTTCAAAACGAGGAAAAATTTCAAAAATGCATTTAGAATGTGTGGAATGTAAAGAAGTTTGTATGAGAATTGTATGACTAATATTTATAATTAGTGACTGAGCTAGAAAAATACCTTTTACCTTTAACCACTACGAACTCTGTCCCTTTGTTGACCTCCAATGTCTTCTTCTGAGTCTCCGCCAGCCCCTCCCCATTTCTGCCTGTGATGCAGAACCTGGACACGCCCCTCTGGGCTAACTGGTCCACTGTGGCCGCCCCTATCCCACTACTGGACCCTGTCACTATCGCCACCGTCTCAGGGGGGAACAACAACAAACTGGAACTCATTTGATGTTTATAATTGCACACAAAGCTTCACACTAACTTTGGAAATAAATATAACAAGTTTTGGACTAAAATTCTTGGATAATCCGTTGAACAAACAGAACAATATATAGTAAATATCAAAGATCTGCAGATCTGATTCACATATCTTAAATTTATTTAACTCTCCCTTAGAAAACAAGAGAAGCATCAATCGCGACTGAAAACTCCAATGTCATGTTTACTTCAAGGCGAAGAAAGGTAATTTGAAATGAAGTGTCACAAAATTCGGCGTCATTTACATAAGATGACAGAGCATTATGGCGGCAGGGACCACTAAGAGGGCATAAACTTCTGACGTCAGAAGCATACAAAGAATCGCACAATATGACGTCAATACTATAAAGACTACAAGATCATTGAATATGCAAAGAGAATTACGACCAAAAAAATTGAACTGAATTTACAGCACTCGGTTAGCTTACATCTTCCTCAAAAATGGGCACACAAAAACGGGACTATGTCACTTAGAATGCTAATCGTTAGCATGCTTACAATTTTTATTAAAAAAGTATATTTTAGCGTGCTAAATTAGTTTCAAAATGCACAAAATTAGCATAAGTAATTTAGTTTATTTTTCAGATTATTCTATTACCCGACAAAATGTTTTTCGGCAATTTTTCTGACGTTTTTTTTTATTTCTTGCAGGAGCTGGTTTTTAGAAATACAAGCCAACAAACAAGTTACGGTCCATAGCTTAAAAATTGTGGTTTTTTGAGGTGCCTTACCGTACATGCCTAAGGATTGTCCATTATTTTCTTTTATTCCCGACAGCTACTTCCACGTTCCATACTCCAACGAAGGATCAAAACTAGATATGGGAAACTATCGACCAAGTTCTTTACTAGTTTGCTGGAGTAGACATTTTGGAAAATGCATGTTTAGAAGAATACATAATTATATAGACGTCAAAAAAACATTTTACTATTGCGAACAGTTGTTGTCGGTCAAAACATAATACGTTAGACGAAATAGTTAAACTGACTGAAAACAATTGTACATGTAAGGGTATAATTGAGGTACTAACTGTTGTTCTTGTTTTAAAAAGGCTTCTGATACATTAGATCATTCCTTTCAATAAACAAAATTCGGCGGTTATAGACTATAGACCATGTTTTTCATGGATAAAAAGTTACTTATTAAACAAACTTCAATGCGTTGAAGTGAATGACATACATTTGTATTGGGAGAAGATCAATTCTGGATTGTAAAGACTGTGAACTATTTTTGTTTGCCGGCGATACGAACATTACGGGAATAAGTCGTACCATCGAAAAAATGATTGAAGATTTAGCAACGGTGTCGAATTGTTTCAAGGCAAAAAAAGCTCAATTCAAAATTTAAATTTCCAAAAAAAAAGATTTTCAAGTAAGTGTAACCAATAAAATTTTCTCTAGTTCAAACCTACTTTTTTTATAATTGGAAAGTTCCTGAACAGTCTTTATGTAAAAGTATCATAAAAACCTAAACTATAGGCTTTTTCAGTTAGCTTATGGATACTGTGATTTTTCATATGCGTAAAAAAAGGCTTCTGATACATTAGATCATTCCTTTCAATAAACAAAATTCGGCTGTTATGGACTATAGACCATGTTTTTCATGGATAAAAAGTTACTTATTAAACAAACTTCAATGCGTTGAAGTGAATGACATACAGTTGTATTGGGAGAAGATCAATTCTGGATGGTAAAGCCTGTGAACTATTTTTGTTTGCCGGCGATACGAACATTACGGGAATAAGTCGTACCATCGAAAAAATGATTGAAGATTTAGCAACGGTGTCGAATTGTTTCAAGGCAAAAAAAGCTCAATTCAAATTTTAAATTTCCAAAAAAAAAGATTTTCAAGTTAGTGTATCCAATAAAATTGTTCCTAGTTCAAACCTATTTTTTTTTATAATTGGAAAGTTCCTGAACAGTCTTTATGTAAAAGTATCATAAAAACCTAAACTATAGGCTTTTTCAGTTAGCTTATGGATACTGTGATTTTTCATATGCGTAAACAAAGCGGAATCATTTCCAAAATCAGGCATTATGACCCCAGGGAGCAAAATATTACAACCCTACGACTCAAATGTTGAATCGATTCTTCAATACGGCGTTTTATTATATCTAGGCACTAGCTGCAATTCACTTCTATCCATTCTATAAATGCAGAAAAAAGTAACTCAAAAAACTTACTGTTTGAAAACTAGAAACACTGTAATAACCCTCTTTGAACATATCAACATTTCACCTATCAAGAGCTGTATTTTTACAAAGTAATGAAGTTTTTATTTCCACCGCTAGTTGGCATGCATACAAGTGGTTTTTTGAAATCTGTTCCAATTCAGTACACAAGTTCAAAATACCAGAACAACAAAAATTCTGCAGAACAAGAACTCTGCTTAAAATACCTTTCGCTCAAATTGCGATGCCGAAGTTTTCAATAAAGTATCGATAAAGTATCGAGATCCAGGCTCCTCAATTTGCTGCAAGAAAATAATTTAAGTACCAATAGATATCCATTTTTTAGAGGAAATCCAGCTTTCGAAAGGGTTGATGAGATCGAAGATCTTTTTATAATTGGTAATTGTAAACTATCTGAGTTCATATTTGATTGACTCATCAACAAAAGTTAGTGAAACTAAGTAGAGCAATTATTTTCTCAGTTTTGGGATTTTCTGAGGTTTTCTTTTGGCCAACTGAATTCCTTCTTGGATTTGTTCACTGGTTACTGCAGCATGGACTCAGTTGTGTGACCTCTGTCAAAAAACCCCGTCTTTTTCCTACGATGTTATGACGTCTATTGGCGCACGGCACACTTAGAAGAAGCAGTAACCGCTAAGTGAACAAGTTCAAGAAATTTAAATGAACTGGTTGCTGATGCCAACTACATGCAAACTTTTCCGCAAAACTGATGGTTGTTGACTTTTTTGAGCTAAAATGAATCAAATTTTTAAACAATCAACCGTAGAAAAAAAACTAAAGGCCTGTCAGCCTTATCAATCTCTAAAACGGTTAACCTGCATTGTAAGGGATATTTGCTCGTCTTGGAATGTTAATTCTGATGAACTCGAAATGTATTTTTATTTCTTTTCTATTTGTTGTAGTTTTCTGCAGTCATCTGCAACCCAACTGGGTTCGTAGGCTGTCCTCTCAGAGCTATGAATTGTCTACATTTAGTTAAATGTATATTCATAACTCCAGAAATAAATTTTATTTTCTTCTTCCAGGGTCCGACTTTTACTTTGATCCTTCCAACTGAGGTAAGGCTCCTTTACTTTACTGGATCAACTTCCCCGATGACCATTCTTGTTATCGATATTTATCGGTTCATGTAAACAACAGGTTCTTGTCTCAGTTTACCGTGACTTAAATTTTCCTTAAACGATGTTTGATTCTCAATTCCTTTTTCTCTTTTGAGTGGATGTTTCAAAGCTTGCCTGAGTGTTTTTGTTTCTGCCAACAATATATTTTTTAAGGATTTCGTCGGTTCTTATGCGTGTATTTATCGCCTCCTCTCTCAACACAATCGACTAGCGACGCTACCTCAACTAGTTCACCGTGAAATCGTTCCAGCATTTTTCCCTTTTTCTGCGTTTTGGTTATGAAACTACCTTTTTAAATGTCGTGACTCTTTCCTGCATAAAAAGCGTTTCTAATTGAGTCTATATATCATTTGTAGATACCTCATTTATATCGTAACAAAGCTTTTATTTCCAGAGTCCAATTTGTCGCACGTATTTGAACCGCCCACCAGTCCTTTCTCCTCTGCATTTTGGTTGCCTATCTCGCATTTAATTCTTCGCTGAGGATTTTTTTTTATTTTTCGGACCTTCTGGTGATTGCCGTTTCCGTCTAAGTAATGTTCATAACTTGGATCCGAAGTAGTTTCAAGGGTGGTTTGTCTCGGAGCAGGACTTGCAAGCTTAAACTTTTTTGCGCTGTCTCCATCTGTGAATCAGTGATCTAGTTCGATCAATCCGGAAGTGGTTCCGCTGTTAAGTTTTCCCAGAATGATTGTATTCCCAGTAGTTTGTATCTTGCTATTACACTATAGCACCATGTCATACGACTAAGATATGCAGACTCAATATATATCGAGAATTTAGTAACTCATTTGTAGCAGCAACATAATTTTCAGAGTAGGATTATTCAATTGCAATCATAATCAACGAGTTTAATAAAAATATGTCAGTTAAATTAATGAAACACAAAACTTTCAGTTCAAAGTTGATTCTACCAGTCCTGACAAGTCACACCTTTCGAAAATTTATAAGAAAAAAACCTGAGAACTTTTTTGAATTTTTTCAAATTTCGAATTTGATAGAAAATGTATTCTCTTTCAGCTTTTTTCTCAAGTTATTTTTATAATCGAAACTTACGCAATTTGATTTACATAGATGACAAGAGATTATTTTAAAATCAGCTTCGAAATCAAAAATTAATTTTTTTTTGGAAGATTTAAGACATTCACATTGGTTTCGCGACATTTTCAAGGTCATTTGAAAGCGTAACTTTACTTTCTTTACAAACTGGAATGAATAGATTACGAAGAATAATCAAAACTATAGGAAAAATTAAAAACGAGTAGCTAAATCTATGAAAATGTCAACGATTTATCCCATCATTGAAATGATAGGACGTGATCCTATAGTATGTCTAACACACAAACAAGGATTGCACAATCGAGCCGTTCCAAAGTCAACATTTTCCAAGAACTGGAGCGAAGATTATATCCGGTACATGAGTTGTGATATCACAAAAATAACATTGGAAGCTAGCAGACAGAGAAGAAAAGGAGAGCCAACAAGTGCAAAGAAAACAGTTAAGTTGTCGAAAAAACCTTAACTAAAAAACTTGTTGTCTGGAATGATGCTGTCGAACGAAAAAAAAGTAATGAAAAACTTTCAAAAATAAATTGTATTCTGAGATTTTTAAATTTTTGTGCAATCCGGAGGAAAACTTACGAGTTTAGGTTCCCCGAACCGCCAAAAATTAGGGTAGTAAGTAAAAAAAACTAAGATAAGCAAAACTACATACCGATTTTCAGTTATAGTTATAACTAGGGGCCACCTAAAATTGGAGGTATCTGTTAGACATCAGAATAAAATTTATTGAAGCGGGAAGAAATGGGTAATATTCAAAAATTTCAAAAACCCTAAAATTGACTTGTTTCTACCAAAACAAATGATTAGCCGCTTTTGTAGGGGGGATACCTTTAACAAATTCTTACATATGAACTGACAAAAAAGATTGCGCAGTGTAGTGGACTTTCCCCGTTCCTTTGATTGAACCCCTGACTGCAAAGCCACTTATACCGGGACAATTCTCATAAATTCAATCTTACTTTTGTCAAGGTACTTTCCGCGAAGTAAAAATTGACATTTCACAAGAACATTATCGCCTGTGAGCACCCAAAAATATCTTAAGACAATGTCAAAAATATCTTCTCGAGCGCGAATTTTTTTTTTTTTGATTAACAAAACAACGTAAGTACGAAAAAATCACTTTGATGATCAATACTTAAAATCAGAAATAAATCAATTTTCATTCCAATTATTGTATACATTGTTTAAATCAAAAAAAAATCTATGATTTGAAAAGAAATCTGATAAACACTGAACAGACGAACGATACTCGAACAATTAAGTTTTTCCATGATAAAAACTCACATATTGAAAATTAGCTCTCGGCCGACAACTCAGCTTTGTCGTCCCAAGTCTGGAAGTTACTCTAAGTTAAATGTGCAGAAACCCTCAATGGATTTGAAAATTTAATACACGGAGACGAAGTGCGGACGGAGCTTGGAGCCTTTTGCGATACAATGCAATCACAAAAAAAGACAAAAAAATTAGATGTTGTAAAAAAAAATTAGGTATAACAAAATTTTCATATGTCTCGATATGAAACAACTAGGGGCCCAGCTAAGTCTGGAGGTACGTGTTTGATATTGAATGAAATTGCTATACTGATGCGGCACGAAACGTACGGATTTCAAAAATTAGACTTTGACAACAACCTTAGTTGTTTCTCTACTGAAGTAAGTGAGAAGAGTAAGAAATTTTGAGTAAGAAAAAATTAAGGAGTAGCCGCCTCAGGGCTGGGAAATTATTCAACATTGTTTTTTAACATGCATTTTAATTTACAATGTTATTGATAAATTCTAACACTAATAAAGCTATTTCTTAGAAATATGGGTATTTTTTTTAGCAAAAACAGTCCACATACTGTTTTTCAGATTGAATATCATTCCGCTGGGGAGAAGGGGTGATATGAACTTTTATGTGTGCCAAATTTTTTCAGTTCGGGATTATTGGTTTGTTTTCGGAACTCTTCGAAAAAATGTATTCACGTATGGGAAGCTCAGAGCCCAAATTGGCGTCGAAAAAGCTGGAAAATTGGCTTTTCTCTTAAAAAAAACTTAATGCTTCTGAATATGTTGGATCAATTAACAATTTAACATAAAAAACATGTTTTTTTTTCAATAGTTAACTGTTAGTGTTATTTTCCAAAATAACATGCACTTTGCCAAACCCGAGCCGCTTCTGCATGAACAATTGCCGCAACCTGTTTTTTCAATGGAACTATTCATCTCAGATTTGATTTTAAGAATTTTCAGAAAATTCAAAAATTTTCCAAAAAAACGGTGGAAAAACTTTCCAAAATCCATGTTTTTCTGCAAAAAGCAGGTTATGGCCGCTTAATCAAACAAGATTCCCAAAGCCGGGTTTCTCGATTGAACACAATCTGAGAACTGGCCCGGTAGTTTCAGCGTAAAGTTCCCAAAAAACTGTCAAAATTTCAAAACTTTGACTTGTCTGAAATCCATAATTTTTTTCTTAACAAACTGGACTTTATTGAACCCAAAATCTCAGATATTTAAGGCATTTTTCGAGCATATTCATAAAGTTGAAAAAACGGTTAAAAATTTTTAAAAACTTTAGTGACCGCTAATGCAGATGAGCTTTCACTACCCATTCCCGTTGTCTCATTGAACACATCAGATTTGAGAGGCTAGTTTTCGAGAAAAGTCGAAAAGTTTCACAAAACGGTCAAATATCAAAAATTAGACTTTTCTGAGGGCCGTAACTTCATCTGTAGAAATATTTGCGTGTAGCCACTTATTCAGGGGAGCATTTCAAAAAAGTTCTACTCATTGACACTAAAAACTTACATTTGAGAAGGGTAGTTTTCGAGAAAACGAAAAAAATGAAAAATATCCCCCACACTTTTTTGAGGGCTGTAGACAGAAGGGTCAAGTAAAAAAAGACCCAAAGCAGTATGCAGGCACACAGCGGAGTAAGTGGTCTTTCAATCGATACCCCTTTTTTGAAAATCAGGGAGGTTTCAGAGAAAAAATGAAAAAAAAATTGCGAATTGAAAAAAAAAGAAATTTCAACAAACCGATTGGTAAACATACAACCAACTTAAAAAGTGTGGAAGGAAGTTTTAAAATTGCGTTTATCTCGAAAAGGCCCAAAAGTAGGTCAATAAGCTGATGAAAATTAAGCCGAAATAATTTGCGCTGAGGAAATTTTTTTTAACGAAACAAAAAAAAAGGAAATACAAAGTCAGGGTAAGTAAAATTACAAATTGTAGAAGTAAATCAAACACTAGAAGCAACATTACAGAAAAATGCGCGCAGCAAAAAAAATCAATTTCAAGATGTGACAACTAAACCGACATAAGCAGACAAATAATTGGCCGACAATTTTATTTGAAACAGAGTATTTCCAGTTTGAAACAGAACAAGTCCTGGTCAGATTCGAACCCAGGACCTTTGCCATCCCAGGCATATTCGTTAACTCCAGATGAGTCCTGTGCGCAAAGTTGTTTACGGGAACAAATTCTAATACCCGATTGCAATACCCTTGCTTATTGCAAGGATAATATAAAGCACATCTCACTAGCGATTTGTTTGCAAAATAGTTTACAAAAAAGTTACTCAAAAACAAGAAAAGTATCCGGTTACAATACTCATATTATTCGCAAGGGTAATCATAGTATTTCAAAAATCAACTTTAAAAAAATCGCGTTTGAACTGACATTTTCTAACAAACTTTGTTCAGATATTTCAAAACCACCTTGCGTGATCGTGAGATTTGAGTACTGCATTACATTCATCTGCTTATCAATGAGCGGAAATTGACTGTTTGCTGCTCGCATATCGTAAATCTGGCATGCTCTAGATCATCATTTTTGTTACATGTAGAGCATTATTAGCCTTGTCCTAAACAAAATTTTACCTCAAAGATTTGAGATGGCTTTGAAACAAGCAAAGAAAAAGATAAAAGCAAACTTCAAAAAATGTTTGTGATCGCTCGTTGCCGTAGATTTCATTGAGTTATTTTTATTCGCAAGAGGGAATCCTTCATTCCAGACGGACCGAATGGCCGAAAACTATGTAAGTGAAAATCTGAAAACCAACTGGAATACCAGCTTTGACAATTTCAAAAAAAGTTGATTGGTTTATAATTTTTGAGCATTTGGTCTTTCTACCATGAGAACAGCCCCCTGCTCGCAACAACAACTACAGGTCTCTAACACGCAAATCAGATTTGTTGCATCAGCGGTAATTGCATCGGATGGCATCAAATTTCCGTTCAGTAGTAAATCACACCACTTTTCCCTAGCAGTCATAAAAGTTATGGGCTGACAAACATATTCCTGCAAAGACCTGCCAACTTCACTGACCTAAACTAAATAGATGGTATATAAACAGTCTGCTCTATACAATAGCTGATAATATATCTAAAACAAATTAAAATTTATGTAATAGTTACAAAAATCCAACATATTTCAATACGAATGACTTAACTTTCTACTGGTTTATTCTTTATACTTGGGCTGAATTATTGCCACTTATTTTAAAAGTTTTGAATGAGCTATTATGAAAATGGAAACATTGCCGCTTACAGCAGATAACTTTTGTTCGTCTCAAAAAAAATGGTAGTATCCTTTTTTCATGGTCGACTTTACATGATTATAACCTTGGTAAAACGCATCTTGTTGATTTTAACGAGTAGTTTTTCTACCACATGCAAAACAAGATAGCTTTATTGCTTCAACTTTTAATTCAATTGTGTTTTCAAACTAACGATACGCTTGAGAAGTCGACAGTTTTTCATGATACGAAGCATTGCATTTATCTTCGTATAAATAAATACACCAGAATCAATGAATTTCACAATGAAAGGAAATCAGAAGCCCTTGAAGATTGACCGCTGTTTTATTTAGGTCACAGTAATGATAACAAAAAATAAGTGATAGCAATTTGTAGAGATATTGGCCACTTTCATGGTCATCTCAAACCTCATTGAAATACACTAGAAGGTGATAATCATAAGATCAAAAAAAAATAATGAGATCGATTTTTACTCTGGAATTTCAGCAGCAGTGTTATTGAGGTGATTATAGGAGAAAGTTCTTTACGCACAAACCTAATCATGTCTTAGCTTATCTTTTTATGGTCCACTAACTTGTGGTTTCCGCGATTCGCAGAAGATCTATGAAAGGCTATCCAACCTGCCTAAGCATAATCCGTGTCTCTTAATTCCCACATTCTAGACCAGTAACGGATTTAGGGGGTGGGGGGTGGTTCTGCCGACCCATAGAGTCCCCCTTTTGTACTATTTTGAGATATCCATTTTTGGTGACGGACCCTAAAAAATTTCTAAAGGCGCCAATATTTACTAATTTTGAGGAGCGCGCGCCGAAAAAGCGCAATTCTTTGGTCAAAAATTTCCAAAAAGGGACTAAAAACGCCTTTTTGGCCTGTTTTTCAAAAACTTGCCTGCGACGTAAAAAATTCGATCAAAATGGGGTATTTATAGTGGTTTGGGAGAGTTCAGAAAATCTATTTTGTCGACCTAAAAACAAGGTCAACAAAATTTGCGAATTTTTTTTGAAAATCCTAGATCCGCCCCATGTTCTAGACAGATATTTTGTTGAGCGAAGTTCTTCTAACCGCGTCAAAATTCTAAGCTTGATGGAACACGACCCTCATTTTTTTTTACTGAACCTTCCAAAGAGCGCCTATACGGTATTTTCGAGAAGCTTATACTTTCAAAAAGTTGCATTTGGAACTGAAGATTTAGATAGAAAAATGTTTCAAACTGCAAAGATCGTAGATCACATCAAAACCAAATTTACAAGAGCAATTCTTCCGTGTCATTTTTCTAATAAAATTACTTGCGATTTCTATCAAAAAAAGGTCAGGTCAATCCAAGATGTAAATTGAGCAAACCAATTAAACCATTGTTCAATAGTTATTATTCAACAAAAATCATCTCACTAATCTAATAAACCACTCTTCGGGTGCTGTGTTGTTATGGAGAGTAATCAGTAGTATCTTCTATTTATAAGTTTATAAATTAAATTGAAGCAAGAAACCGCAAGAATAGATAGTTTAGTTGGTGGCAAAGAGATCGTTTAACTTAGAGCGACTTCGTAATTAGACAGATAGTCAATTTACATCATAGAAAGTTAAATATTTAAGCGAATTAGTTGTCAAATACTGTTATTTCTCTCAAGCGCCACTTGCTCGAATATTTCTGATTGAAGTAACAATATTTTGAAGTTTTATTGGAAATATATGAGATAGCATACAAATTAGAATCTAGAATCGTACCAATACCGACTATGGGATTTCTCACTAGATGACTTTGAAATGAATTCCAAAAATAGGGTTACTGATATTTATTTTTGGTTAATGAAAAAACAGCATCAGATATGCAGTCACGATCAATTCAGCAGCCTGGACAGAAAAACACTATTAACAATTTATGGGAAGATCAACATTGCAAAACAAGGAGAAAAAAACATGCAACTACTTCCAAAATGAAAATCTAATATCTGCTTTCAGCTTAAACTTGTATCAAATTATTCCAACTTCCGCATTTATAATCAAATATTTGATAATTGTAACTCTAATCAACGCAATAAATAAAAAAAAAATCATTGAAATCGTGTTTGAAAATTCAACGTCTCTAGACCTTGATTTGATTGTCTGATGAGTCCATCAAGAAACAGCCTCAAATCTTCTTCTAGAGTGCCTTCTTAACATATCTTGACCTGCGTCCACTTGCTAAATTAATCAGCTTCGAATTTTTAATTTTGCTAACTTAAGAATGCTGCAGGTCGACCGCGGCAACATTTTCTGAGACGTTTGCAGGTTGGTCGATGTCAACATTATCGAACTCCGAGCTCTTTTCAGGGTGGCCAGACTCAGTTAAAGATAACTCCTCGACTGCCGGAGATCCCGAAACTTCTTCCTTTTTTGAGTCCTCGTCTTTCTCAGACTCAGCTGCTGTATTTTCATCTGTGCTATTACTTTTCTCCATGTCATTAATTTCATTTTGTTTTTCGTTATCAAGTTGGGAACTTTCAATCATTGTTTCCTTTGTCTCTGTCTCGCCTAATGACGTCACTTGAAATGAGTCATCCTCTTCGGCTCCATCGACTACTGGCATCTCTCCTTCGGTTGTTGTCGGCTCTATCATTGAAAACCCGGTGTTCGCTTCGCTTGTGTCTGGCAACGACGAAACATCAGTCACATCATCAACATAATTCTCGGTGAAATCGTCTGTATTTGACTCGCTGACTAAATTAGCAGATTCTGTCAGTTCCACTGAATATTGATCCGATCTGCTCGAATCGCCAACAACGTTCGAACTTCTCACTTCTTCATTGGCTGCAACTTTCGAATCATCGTCGTCGTTTTCACAGATTCCGAAAAAATCCTGTGATCCATTTGCCGACGATGGTTCCGCGTCGCCTTGACTTTCCGCCGAGCTCAACTGACTGTCCAGGACTCTCAATTTTTGATCCAGTCTTTCCGTATGCAGTCTCAAATCCTCCGTTCCTGGTTGCTGCAAATGAACTTCGTTTGCTTCTTCGCTCTGATCTGAGAAAATCTTCAGTTGGCCTTTCACTTCCGAAACAGCAACGCCGTCTTCTTCGGCAGTTTCAGCGGTTAAAGTCTTCGAATCACCCTCTTTTCCGCTAATAAAGAACTCCACTCTGTTCATAGAAACCGCATCTGGAGCGTCAAGGTGTCCGTTCAGACTGGAAATCGGCGTGTCGAAACTTCGAAGCCAGAGATCTTTATCCACCAGACTTAGCATTTGTTCTGTAAAAATAAGGTCGTGGCATTCGCTCAGGTTTTCACGTTGCAGTGTGTTTTCCGGGTCGTAGATCTCTCGGGCCAGATCAAAAGACTGCTTCAACAAATCAATTGTTTGATCTCTCAGCTCTGAAATTCGCTTCATTTTTTCGTCTATTGATCGTTGATCATTTTCTTTGTCAACGTACTCTTCGGCTGTCGTTGGATCATCAATAGAGTAGGTAACCGGGGATTCGAAATTGAACGTGGAGGGGTCTGTTATCTCTGGATCCGAACTGCGACTTTTATTCATCTTAATCGACGCTGGAGGGTGTTTGGACGTTTGCCTTTTAAAATTATTTTTCAGACACTCGCCCCATAAAGCCTTCCACTTTTTCGTCTCATCTGACGTTGATAGGAACACTATCAGTTGCATAGAAGGACACACACAAGTGAAGTTGTACTCCTGATGGGTCACCAGGTCAGTTTGGTCACTACGTAGTGGTCGTGAGGAATCTGTGGTCGCGTGAATAATGGTATGTGTCGGAATTATACTCAGCAAAGTCTTATCTGCATCCAGGTACCGTTTCCATGTCAGCTTTTCTGAATGCGGGTCCCTTTCAATTAAAATTAAATAATTGGGAAACAAAATAACTAGATAGTTGCTGAATATTTTCAGCTGCTGCGGCGGCTGTTGCTGTGCCTGCTTTGTGTCACTCTTCTGCTGTTTTGGCTTATGCATGAATTTAATCAGAGCAAAACTCTGTGTATATGCCTGATGTGGCTGCTGGGTAAAATCAATCTCCTTCGAGTTAATTCCATAATCCTTCCATTCATCGCTTCTAAACACGGGATCTTTGTCGACTTCACTTCGGTCCAACTTCGAAAGCAGGAACTTGAAATCTTCGAAGCCTTTTTTGTCATTCACATCAGATATCAATTTGGTCACAATTTTCAAGGCACGATTCAGATACTCTTTTTCGCTGGCTTTGCACTGGTTCGAGTACTTGAGGACGCCTTCCATCAGTAACTTGTACTTGGTCGCTCTTTGGACCTCGGACGCAACCAGGTCCTGCAGCGTCCGCTTCTCAAGTTTGGCTCTATTTTCAATCTCTAACACTTTTATTTTCTCTGATCTGAATGACTGGCGCTTAGTCCAGCTGTAGTAGTCCACAAACTTATCGCAGTATTCTGGACTGTCGAACACTTCGATGAACACTTCTCCCACATTTTTGATTAACATGTCTGAGTTGATACAGCTCAAGATTTTGAGATAGAATGAAAAATGGAAATCGATCAGTTTCTCAATGGCTGGAAACCCAACTGACGCGGCGTTGTTGTTCTGCTTGAGCACCGTTTCAAACACTGAAATTATCATCTTCAAATTGTACGTCTGTTTCTTCTCACTGTTGAGGAACTCGTGTAAAATGTTCTGCTGGTTTCGCTCCTCTTTCTTCAACGACTTGTGGACTTCCTTAGTGGCAAGCTGGTCGATTGTTTTGAAATTGTCAGTCGCTAAGAACGACGAGTGATTCCAATTCACAACATCCAGGAGCTCCCTGACTTTTGGATCAATTCGTTCCAAATATGAATCGAGGGATGTCCGTGACAAATTCGACGACGACATATCGGACGTGGAGAAATCTTCATTGGACTCCCCGGAATTCACTTTGGCGCCTTGCGACACATTCACTTCATTCACTAAATGATGGCATGGATCGCTCGCATTTCGTGGCGAGATGCTTGGCTTTCGATGTCTAGTTTCGTTTTCATTCTTCATGCTCACCGTTCTCTTTACCGCATTGTTCGCTGACGTCCCACTGGGCGGTAGCGAATGAGGCTGATTAAGCGGCAGTGCTGACTCTGCCATCGTCGGGTCCTCTGCGACTTGGCCAAGACTTACAGAGGAGTTCTCTCTAGAATGACCTCGTACTGCCGATGACGTTGTCGCCGAAGAAGTGATTGAGTCTGTCTCGTCTGATCCGACCTTCGGAGGCGAGAACGCGCCCGGAAATCCTTCGTTCTCGTGTATCGAGGGACTGTGTTTGGTTCCATTCGGTGTTACAGGGGTCATTGAAGAGCAGGCGACCGGGAAGTTAGCGGCACAGGTGGCATGGACGATCACTCCACACGACACGCATCGGTTTAGTGGCTGGCCTAAAACGCGCACCTATTAGTGAAGAGGAGACGATATTCCTTAAGAGAAGACGATATTCCTTAAAAGAAGACAATATTTCTTAAGAGAAGACGATATTATTTAAGAGAAGACGGTATTCCTTAAGAGAAGACGATGTCGCACAATTCACTGCTTCATTCCAAGTTTTTAGAAATCGAAGGCCAAAAGTTTCTGCAATGGCCCTGCATACAATTCAACTAATCGGTCACAACGTTTTGAGATTTTCTTAACAGTTAATTTCCCATAAATCAAATTGAAGCCAAGTTTATTGGAAAATTTAAGAGAAACTTGTTAAATTACTACATGGCTCAATAAAATCACGACTGGTATCTTATTTGCTACGATAAATTGATGCATGGTTTCGTTTTGTCGCTATTCTTTCGTTTAATATCTAGCTTAATATGATCGCAAATCGCAATTCATAATTCGCAAAACAGACTGAGAAATCTAAAATATGATTCTTACCATTTAAAAAAGTAGAAGCTAAATGTTGTAATAAGAGACATAATTTTATTGTTTAACTGTACAAGAATATAAACAATCACAAAACAAATGAGGTCTGTCTGAACTGAGATGAAATGAGATCAAATGTTGTCCTTCTTATTTCAACTTTGCACAGTTAACCACAATATGTGGCGTATTAGCTTGCTATACAACGGATAACATCTTTTATGGATGGTGTTATCAACTAGCATAAATTAACTCGCATGGGTATATTGGGACCGCCGAATTGTCGCTATTTACATCACAAGTTCAACGTATAGACAATATAAAATACTTTGTAAAAAAATACACCGTAATCCATCAGCCGCTGGGGAATAATAAATAACGTGAACTGCCATTTTGCTCAACATTTCGGACAGCGGATAGTAATCACTGATTACTGGTGCCAAATATACAACAAAAGTTTGTAGGCAGAAATCCGACGTTTATACAAAGGAGCTTAAATTAACGTGCAAAGAAGTCTTAATTCCAAAATAAGTAACAAGTTGAAGTTCCAATAAATGGTATTGATATAGCAAATGACATTTGACTTACCAGCAACTGTTGTTTTAAAGCAACTTGCACACTTGAAATCACTGGCTGCATTTAGATGTACATTCGTTGCACCCGCAACCGACTGGAACATATGACCACTTTTACTTTCTTTTAGGCTCTTGTTCGAATTGATGCTATGAGCTTTCTTCCCAAACAGGTTCGCGTAGCTAGCCTTGTGTCTCTTTAAAATGGCCGTGTTATCCTTGTAGCGCTTTTTATTGAGCTTCAGAAAGGTAACTATACTATCCCCCAAATACTGTTTGACAGTTTCCGTAAACAGGCTGCATTTTGACATTTCTATAAGGGGGATCAGTTTGTTCAATTCCATTTCGATGTCTGCTTTCACTCTGTTCGAGATGTCTCTAATTAATGTCGGGAACAGAGAGATCATCTCCTCTGCGTGGGTTTGGATGCTGTTATGACACAGGGGAGAAAACACAAGGTCTAGACTGTTTCCTTGCAATGTAATAGCTAGTGACGCTTCTCTAAAACAGTTCAGATAAAGCGGAGAAGTGTCAAGGCAAAAGACTCGGATGATAGTCGAGAAATACTTATGGAATTCTTCTTCTTTTTTGTTTTCAATTCCATCGACAAATGTCATGAAAAACAGCTCTTTAACTGTTTCTAACATGCTTTCAGAGCTTGGCTGTGGGTGTTCTTCGCAACAAACAAACGTGAGCAGATGACGCAGGAATATAGTCACTGATTGAGGGTTCACTGTGAAGCTTAAACAGGAGGTAACTATTTCCATTTGATTTTTGGAGTTTGACCTGTTCCTTGGGAAAGGTGATGCAGCCAAATGATTAGTTTCGACGGCTAAGGGCTTTACTGGCTGGTGTTCAGCATCGAGCTGCTGATTCAAATTCGAATCGCTGATGGTATTTTTCTTCGAAAGATTCCTCCGTCTCTCAGAAAGCATCTCAGGGCCTGCTAAGCTCTGCAAAGAGCCATATTGGGAAAGTTTCGGGTTGTACTGCTGCTTACGAAGAGATCTGAAGTTGGCGATAACGTCTTGGGCAATTGAATGAGTCCTGGCAATCCTTTCGTTCACACTTGAGCGCCTCTGAACAAGTTTTCTCGGAGTACTTGTTTCATCTGGCTCAGCTTCGGCATCTGATAGACGCGTAATTGATTTGTCTTCGGGTATTTTGTACGAATCTGTTTGGTCTGAATCACTGAGCAGACTGGCATCCAGGCTCATTCGCTTGAAATAGCTTTCTGGGATTTTTCTCTGTAAATTTTGAATGATTTGTTGCGAAGTGTTAATCAAGCTTTTCAGTTTCGCCTTTTCTGTATCGGGTAGACTTGGATCGTTTGACTGCTCTCGAAATTCAACCAAGCGTTTGTACTCGGATGTAATCATGTTACATGTTATATCATATCCACCAAGTCGCGCGATCTCATCGTTTTGTGAAAACGCAATAGGATGAGAAAGTGTTTTCTGTTTATGCGATGTATTGCTTCTCTTCTGAACTAGCAAACTAAACGATTCCCGCTGCCGAATCCGATTCACTATATGATCATGAGACATATTTGTAACGTTTTCATTGTCTATAGTAACAACTATGTCGTTTGCTTCCAAGCCATTTTTCTGAGCAATCGACCCTTGTCTTACTTTTACGACATGAGCAGGATATTCCCCAGACACTTGGAAACCGTAACCTTTTTCATCCTTGGAAACCTCTATTTTTTGTAAATCTGCAGTTTCTGCACCTGATTGGGACATAAACGAAGCAAAAATTCCAGACCTCCTTCTGGATAAATAACCACCTGTCGACATTGTCGCAATTATTCTCTTTTCACATTATCCTTAAAAAAATGATTGAATCGATTAAAAATTTCGGATCTTGTCTTTCCTTTAGGCTCGAAAAGGGCTAGCACCCCAAAATTTAGCCACGATTCATTTAATTTGAGACTTTATCAGGCTTTCACAATAACATTTGAGCTTTCACGATATTAAGACAAAATAGGAATTAAATTTTTATTTTCGAGGGACAATGGTACATGAAAACATCCAATACCTGCGAGTTTATATTCAAGAAACGCAACTTGTATCGAGTTTTATTTTGAACGTCAACTCTAATCATCTCCTTTTTTATTATTAACACTTCCTTATCCAGAAAATTCCTAGGATTATAACTGGTATATGTGATGAAGCGACACCTGACTGTAACCTCGATTACTATAACTTTGACCTTCTGATTATCCTTAAAAATATTCCAACACTGTTTTCAGCTTTTTCTTAGAACATCATGATTGGAACAAGCAAAACTATAAAATGCTAATCACAAGCAAATTATAACGTGAAATGCATTAAAGTCGAAAACGCAAAAAAAAACAAAGGCAGGAAAAAAATTAAATAAATAAATAAATCTTAATTGAAATCAGCGAAGTACAACTGATTAACAAATACATTTACAAATTGTAGTTTCTCAAGAACCTGTCAGGGAAATGCCGCATATATTTTTCTTTCATCAGATAGTTGCCGACTGGGTTTCGCGCTCTCAATTTTACTTCGCAATACTCTGATCGAGATGGAATTATACTTGAAAGAATATGGTTGTCATCTCTCGATATAACTCGGTAAAGTTTATCGTCCTCTTTCCTTACTAAGTCGTTGGAATACTCAGCAAGAATGGAATTTAGCAGGTGAAAATTTTTTATCATTATTGATTTGGCGCTATACATTTCTGAGAAAACATAGAGGTAGGGATGTTTTAGAAGCAACCACGAAACCATCCCTTTAGACGACAAAACAACTGCAGCTATACTTCTTATGATAATTTAATAATTTGTAATCACCAAAATCAGCCGCCAACCAACTATTTGCAATATTTTTGTCCGTAATATCAAGTATTCCAGTCAAAAACCTTGAATTTGTCATTTATTGTTCCCAGTACGCAAGCGGCGTTCGCAATCTGTATTGCCGAGGAGAATCTGTTTTAAAACGCTGCCTGCTCTGGGTTCCTCATTGCATATGTTTATGTTCTTACAAAGCTTGCGCAAATTCTGTTCTGGGGCCAGCCGTACCAGGGTTCCAAACAGACCCGGCACCAATCCTACTGGGAGCTAAGGAGTCTACTACCGTTACATCCCACCGGAGCTCTTTACCAACAGCCCATCGAGCGAGCGTCAAACCGTCCAGTCGCTTCTGATCGGTCCTGTAGTGGTGTCGTGGTTCTAAAAAAGACAAAATGAGAGTAGAAGAAAAACTCTGCTTTATAAGGGCATTCTGGTTTGAATGCGTAGAGAATCTCCCTGATTTTTTTGAGCCTAATCGAAGTCCTATGGCAAATCTGAGCTGTTGGTTCGACAGTTTTAACCCTAAATTTTTGCGCGGAAGTACGTTCAACCACTGGGATCCAAATCTATCTTAGAACGCATTGAATCTTTTCAGGTCCATTGATTCAAGCGTGAAACCAGGTCTGCAATTTCGCTGCCAAAAATTGACATTTTCCAATTTTTTGGGATTTCATTTTCCGGAGCCATACCGTTTAAGCGCATCATCATAGGTTCCATCCACTAAGGCATTTATCGTTCCTACTTCTGAGGCTAAGAAAGCGGGTAAAGCTAGTAAAGGAGCGGAAAAAACGCCCAAGCAATCTTTGGCTATCGGGCGAACTGCTTGTAAAAATTGGTTGTCATCCATTTTCACATTAGTGAACTTGCAAAACGAATTTCGTGATAAGATGTCGTTATATTTTGGGGCATATTTTTCAAAATTGTGTGAAATGAAATTATACTTTGTACTCGAAGTCGGTCCCAAAAAAACAAAGTTCGCACTTCTCAGTGTTCAAGCTCAGTCCGTAAATTTGTCACAATATCAGAATGTTTTCAAGGTCCCGAAGTACTACCTTATAGTCGTTGGATAAATTCCCATTATCTAAATACCAGATATTAGTTTTCGACTCCAATTCTTTGACTAGTGTCTGAATTGTTTCCGCAAAAAGTGGTGGGTCTTCAGGATACCTTGCTGAGTTTCGTCTTTTGACATTTAAGGACCATGAAACGGTCCGTGCACAGGTTGCATTTGGCCATATCAAAGCAATATAAATACAACGGAAATATTTATGAACAAACTAATTTGATTTTAAAACATCCAGAGAATTGTCAATTAAAACCTACTCAACTCGATAATAACATTGATGGAATGGTTTGTGTTGTATGTATTTTTTAAGTTGACAATATAACAATACAAAATAACGTCTCTTTAATGTAAAAACGATCTGCTTTTTTAACAATAGAAAGAATTTTTAAAAAAACAGAAACTTCCAAAAGAATTTTTCAAGGGTTGTCACTGTCTATCCTAAGAGTTTAATTTCAGTGCCACTCATGTGCAAACTTCTTTTAAATTTATGCCAGTTTCAATTATTTTATTTCATTTAAAAACAATTATGAACTTTTGATAGTATTTCACCCATTATTATTTTTGTTTTTGTACTGATTAATTTTAGAAACAGGGGCTATCCACTCTAGATGGATCTCTTGTACAAATTATGTGCCATTGGACCAGAATGACTTCGAAAAATTCATGTCATTGATGTCATCAATGAAAATTTTTGGAGCAATTTGGCAGGATGATTGACTGTTTTGGACAATTAGCAGTGTTAATTGTCAAATTGAACGTTACTATTTTTAAATTTTAGAATTAAGCGTGCCTGACACATAATAAATTTTATTACTGTGACAACTAAAATAGCGATAAGTCAGACTTCAAGGATAAAAACACGATGGGATCTAGAAAGTAAAAGATTGAAGGTATAGCCGACAAAACTTGCAGAAGAGCGTTCCGAGTTGTAATGATTGTGCACCTAGAGTCGTTACAGAGCAATTGCAGAGAGTCAGTAGGGCTTACAGGAGATTTTGCTACCCTTCCCGGTTGTGAAGAAAACATCTCGTCATCCGGATTCAGGATAGAGGAAGGGTATCGTAGAAGAGCTGTAAACAGTTTTTTAGAAAGCTTTTAGCTTCCCGGAATGTCCTTAATTGAAAAAAATTAACATCAAGTTCATTTTCAGAGTATGCAATTCTAGGAGTTGAAGGAGAGAGTTTAACCATCTCCAATGGACCTGATGATTTTATCTACTCAACAAAAAGAATAGTAACGTGAAAAAAGAGTAGTAGCCCTTCTTTTAGGAGTGACCTCGTGGTCTGAGAATCGTGAGACACAGCCATGAGCTCACTAATTTGAATGATTACTTAATTAATTTGCGCGATTCGGCCGATAGCCTTAGGTTATAACAATTTTGTTGGTCCGATGTTTTTTGAACCATTTACTGAAATGGTATTCATAGAGACAGTTAAAAGCATGTGAAGCTGTGTTTAGGCGCTAGCCAGTCGTTTCATGAACTAGCTTTATTTTCCGTCGGTATGAACTTCCGGGCGAATATTACATATACGTTTTTACGGTGCTCCTGGTTGTTATTCTTTTAAAATCAGAATCGACGAACCCCTTAACGAAAGCACTCCGCGCTACCCGGATGTTCTAAGCAAAGCCCTTAACCAAAAGCCTGAAAGGTGGTTCGGAACGCAGAAGCCTTCCGGATTCCCCGATTTAGCTTTTTTCTCTTTGTTAAGTCCGAAAACTCACGTACCCCTGATATATGACTAAACTGAGCGGTATATGACCAAAAAGAAATAAAGACATACCGGACACCAGAAGAAGTAGTATAGTATCAAAGAAAAAACCAAAAAACCTAAAAATAACCGAAAAAGTCCCAAAACAGTTTAAAAAAGTATAAAATCAGCATAAATCATCTCCCCAGACAAAACTTGATCCGACCTTCCCGTTTGTTGTTGTTAGATTTATTGTTGTTAAAGGCATTGATATCAACCCTGATCTTTACGATCTAAACTCTAGCCTATTTTTGCTGCATGTACTGTAGGGTTGTTTAAGGGCCAAGTGATTGGGGTTCGAAGACTTATCCGACAAGCAGTGCAAGGAGCAGCAGGAACGATCTCAAGGACAACAAGAGTCGACTGTTGGGTATCCTTAACAAGTTTTGTATCTTTTTTAGCAGAAAAAGAACGATATCAATCTGTGGGGGGCTTGACAGTGACTGCACTGTAGTGACCCTCCACCGAGTTGCAAATTTCCGAGTTAAACACCTGAAAACGGATATTGAACAGACCCAGAGGTGTATAATCTTATTAGTACTACAAATCATACTACTGTATTAAATGTTCTGAACCGTTTATCAATCAAATACACCGCAAACAGACTGGTTTTTACTGTCAAAATAGTGATATTTTGATCCCGACAAAACGCGATTCTTAAGATATTCATCTTTTTCGAAACGGAAAAAAGCGCTTAGTTAGTGAATTATATATCAATTTGACTAATATAACTAGTGGAACCGGTTGAATTTAGTGCGGATGTTAATAGAACCAATTGAAAAATGATATCCGACTTTTCGTGATTTTTGGAAAAACAAAACGCCGCAAATAAAAAGTTTAAAATTTTCGAGTTGGCAATGACAAAAATTGTGTTTCAGACAACATACAGTAGTGAAGAGACAGGTTTTAGAACCTATTTGCCAACAACCTTCCTGTTCCCAGTGAAATCGGACTTAACATGTTTGATTTAATGGATTCATCAATCCGATGGGGCCCAAATAGCAAAAATTTTTGCATATTTTTTCAGCTGAAACGTGTTTGATTGTCTCTTTTGCCTTTAATTGGAACAGTATGGGCCTTTTGAGCTGCAAATTAAAAACTTTAGGTCAATAGGAAAAGAATTGCAGAAAAAATTAGGCGGAACCTTAAGTTTGATTTTTTTTTATTTTGGACAAAAGACGTCTTGCCT